TTCGCATACGGCTTTGGACATTTTCTTGTGCTAGCTTCCCCGCTCACATAAGTAGCTTCTTTTCGCTCCCTTAACCTTACTCAGGTACGACTGGTAGCTACTACCGCTCTGGTCTCCCCTTTCTTCTCTTCGCTGATGCCCAAGCTCATGTTGAATGTGCCAGTGGTCATCAGATCATTCAGGCTGTTATCAAGCTTGCGAGGGAAGGAGCAGCAAATGTATTACAATTGTTGTAAATTAATCTGACCATGACAAATCTCTGAAATTATCTTGTAGAGCAAGCATCGTCCTGGTCCATAGAAAATCAAGGCGCGGGGATGACCGCAGTCGCAACATCACTCCCCTCACCCGAGCTGGGCGCCATTGCCTGGAACGACGGCACTACTGACGGGCCCGGCGTCGTCTTGAGCATGCTAATAAACAACGCGGTTTAGCAGTGAGCGGGAAAGGCGCGGTCAACTCACTTTGCGATGGCAGCCTGGTCCACGGGCGGAGACGCGCCGGTCCCCACGATCGTCTTGTGCCCGAAGCTCGGCGCGCCCGTGTTCGTGACGACGTACAAATACGCGGGCCCGGGGGGGTATATCGCCGCCGTCGGCGGGGCCTTGACCGTGAGCGTCTTCTTGTCCGCGGACAAGGTCGCGGCGAGGTACACGAGCCGCTGATCCATATGCACGCCGTGCGTCGCGAACCCGAGGTCCATAAGCGCCACTGGGTGCATTAACGACACTCAATTCAATTTTATGCTTTCAAATCGAACAATGATGCGTACCCGTGACGTTTGTTGTGCTTGCGGGGAGCGTGACAGTGAGGGTGAAGGCGGCGTTATAGTTGATCGTCGCTGGGAGTCCGGTGTACGATGGCCGTGCGACATTCATGTACGGCGGGGAGTAGAACTCAAGCCTACGGAACATCGGCGTCAGCGGTGCTCGCGATGCAGACCACGGCGACCAACCGATATTCCGTCGGGTATTTGACGGTCGTAACGTCGTCGTTGGGGTTTGACCCCGCTGATGACTGATATGCATCCCGCATGCTTCGGTGTAGTTAATCCACGCACCGAGCATGACAGTCCCATTCGGCGTGAGTGTCGCAGTGGAATGATACAACCGTGGGATGGTGGACGCCACAAGCCCTGCGGATGAAAAGCGGCTGCCAGCGGGCGCCGCCGGGTCATAGACCACCGGTGTGAACGCTGGGTTGTCGGCATTGCTCTGCCCGATTTGATTCCCGACCTTCATAGAATGATGTGAGTTGTCAGAAAAGTCTCAATGGACCTGCCGGCATCCGGGTCGGGACGTACATTTCCGTAGCCGGCAACGCCTGTCTTCGCTCTAAAGTGGATTTAATTATGCGTGTCAGGATTGTGAAGCATGTCCGTACCCGTTCACGAGCATCACCCGCCCGTCGGGGAGCAGCACCATGTCAACCATGATGCGGCCCTGCGGCATCGTCTCCACCTTCCAGCCCGCTGCGATGCCAGCGGCGTTCAACACCATCCGGATGCACTGCGCGGACGTCGGCGCCTGAGAAGAGATGGACGACGCTGCGACCTTGTCGCTCGTAGTTGACCCCCCGCAGATCATGATCTCGGGCGTGTAGTTGTTCGCAGGAGACAGCGGGAGCAGGACGTGGCCAGCGGAGAATGGGGAGCTAGAGTGGCGTTGTTATATTTAACGCCCAGGAACCCGGTACGAAATTTCAAATGACAAACGCACCTAATGCGAACTCCATTGGGAATGCCGGGAAGACGCGTCTCGGTGTTGGTTTTCCAGTTGAGGATCATGGCGGCTTGGTTTGCGGACACGAATATCGTTCCATCAGGAAGGTAGACGAGGTTTGGGAAGTGGTTGCCGTTCAGTGTGTCCGTCAGGAACTTACTCGGGATCTTTAACCCGTTGAAACCTGACACAGATCAGAATTGAGATGACGCTGAGAAAGATATACTAACCGTTTATGTTCTTCGGTGGAAAGTATTCGTATGACGGGTTGTTTATGCCTGCAATAGAAAGTAATGTTAACTCGCTGCTCGATGTGAGCACGACACGAGAGCATACCTGCCCCGTTGATAAATCTGGCGTTGGAAATGGTCTATTGAGCGCCAACTTTGCGTCACACTGCGACAACTCACCCGCCAGAAACGGACCCGCCAAAAATGATGATAGATCCATCTTCAATTCGCACCTAATCCAGGGAATGAACTTTTGGGGACCAACCATGAAATACGGACGATATTCTCACCGACGACGGATACCATCGGGGGGACGACAGGCGGATGCGAGTCGGGCTTTCGAAAATATCGCACGTACCGTCGGTGCACGGCGTGAACATGCGGACCGCCTGAAGGCCACTAGCACCTTCAAGCGTTGTCGTCAGAATTTGCTTTCCTTGGGAACCTCGAAGTGCAAACTCACCGGTAATAACGACGGGGTTCCCCCCCGTGTCGATCAAGGTGCCGTTGCCGAGGAAGCTGCCCGTCGCGCACCACGAGTTACTCAGCGGGTTCAGTGCACGGACCGTCTGCGTGTTGAGATCCAATTCGACGGCCCACGCGACATGCCCGTTTACGGTGAGCGGATTATGTTCCCTGAAGGAACGATGGTTAGCGGCTCGCGAAAGGACGACGAGGACTCGACCATACACTTTATCGTAAATGATTGCTTTCGTTTCTGAAACGACCGCAAGCTGCATTCCACTGACACCCGTTGTCCTGCACAGAAGAGTGAATGAATATGATACAGTGGTTCAAAATGACTGCGCAATACCCCTTCTGAACCAGCGACCAAGCGCCTGAAACGGAAGCGCGAGCGTCCAGTTCAGCTGAGCCGTGAGGTACCAGTGAGAGCAATAAACAGAGAACTGTGAAGAAAGGTCGGCCGCCCATGGTGTGTTGCATGGCTAAGCACTCTGTGGAATGAGAGACCGCCTCCTGCATTTATACAGAATCGGTGTATTGAATAGAGCGACTCATGCCGACATAAAACAGCGGCCGAGGCGGGGAGACGCATGGTGTCTGACAAACATTTACGATTAGAATGAATGCGCTAGCGGGGTGTTAACGCACAGAGAGCGCAGTAAACCCGACGCAATGAAGGCCCATCAAGCGGTGATATCGGATGCCAGTCGATGCGGAGCCGTATATGCATAGAGGTTGGCCCGACTCTGTGGAGGCTGGCGAAATCAATACTGCCTGACGTGGAGGTTAATTAAATGCTTGTGGAGTGGATAGATATTACTGCTGTCCACTGCAGTTGCCACTGGCAGTCCCGGGTATATTACCACCATGGAGCATCTCTGTGATTGGAATGAATAGGGCGGCATAGTCTGAGACCCGTCTTCGGGAGCTTGCAGATAGCCAGCGATGGTCCTATTGAATTCAAAGACGCTAACGAAGAGTCGTTGACATGGTCAGCATGCTGCATGGCGAGGACCTATAAGAGGGACCGATGGCTTACATACTGACACCCGCCCTAAGTCAAACAATTCTTGCTTCATAATGGCCCGAGTACCTGCATTTCAGCGCAACTTGTTCCCGACCGTGATGGGAGCAGACAACCACGAATAATATGGAGCTCGCGCGGAGCCGCAGAGTCACGTGCGGTACAGAAACCCTAGGTTAAGGTTGAAGACGACCAGAAGGGGTCCCGGAAGTCAGAGTGAACATCATTCAAGGACAGAAACACAGAATTGAATGAGTTTGGAGGTATTTTCTTCAGGTCAGCTAAGTAGGTCAGAACTTGCACTTGTTTCCTGCGTTTGCCGGTGTTGGCCGAACTGTGACTACGATGGTGAACGATGTTTGTCATGAGCCCATGGCTGGGCATTGAATCTTATAGGGACTAGTAAATCTTATAGAGACTAGTAATGTCTTGGTCTTGGTCTGCCATGGATGAAGATCCGTGTTCATGCCCCAGCATCCACGGATGTATCCAAACCCGCTATCCGTTAGATGAATAATATAATAATTTGTCTGACGGCCCGGGTGTTTGAAACCATCCACGGATTTCACCCAAATGACCGTCCGGATCTTCCAGGACCCCCGGTAATAGGTGGGAAGGGGGTTACAGATTCGGGTGAAAATCACCGCAATTTTGGTCGAATGCAGTTGCAAATTCGGGTGGATTTGGGGGTTGAGTACGGGATGCAGTTACAGATTCGGGTGAGTTGTGCCTGAAATTTTATTGCTCTGCATTACTTTCGACGCGTCTCTCTGGTGTCTCTGCTGAGACGTCACGGCCAGCGGAAGGGTGCGCACTGCGGAGGATGTTGATGTGAGCTGCAGGTAGTCTAGCCTTCGAAATAACGCGAAAATTGGATCGTAGGGCGGAAAAACGAGAAAAAAACTTCATATGGGGTTACAGAATTCGGGGGAAATTTTGAAAATTTTTGCTATGCGGTTACGGATTTCGGGTGAAAATCAGGCCCGGAGTCCATCCAATTCGGGTGAGCCATCTGAGATTTTGTAACCCCCTTCCCACCTATTACCGGGGGTCCTGATCTTCCATGCTGGTCTCTAAATTTATATTGTTGCGCAGTGCACAAGGACCCCTGATAGTCCCTTTCGAGGCCAGGGCCGGCCGGCCGGACAAAAATTGGCCAAAAATGTCGATCCAAAAAGACCGAAAGTGACCGCTTGCTGGTAAACACGATTTTCGCAGCCTCAGAAAGCGTGGGAAAGTAAAAAAGTGCCGGACAAAAATGCCCAGATTGGAGATTTTCGGGACCTTGCCTCCAAAGGGACAATCAGGGGTCCTAGTGCACAAGGACCCCTGATAGTCCCTTTCGAGGCCAGGGCCGGCCGGCAGTGCACATCGGACGTTGGTGTTGCGTAAGATCCATGACTCAGATATAAATAGAATCACGAGTCATTGGGAGGCGTGGCTCACAGGGTGGATCTCGGATTGAGAATACATATTGACCACAGAAAAAAGGACTGGCAAAATAAGTAGAATGCAACAAAGACAAAATAAAATAATCATACAAAAATAATCATACAAAAATGACCACCGCAGGGGTCGAACCTGCAATCTCCTGATAACGAATATTCGAAGTGTCAATCGTAGTCAGACGCGATGCCATTTCGCCAGGCGGCCTGTACTGCAACTTCGTATCAAGACAATAAGTGGGTCTCTCAAGGCGACGTTAAGTGGGTCTCTCAAGGCGACGTCATCCGAAGCTTGATAAAGAGCCTCCTCCACTTTGAATTTCTAGGTCTGATACCCTGTGTTTCTAGGTCTGATACCCTGTGTTACCGGTCGCGCCTGGCGTGGAGTCGGATAGCAGTCTCCGACTCTGAACTCTGACAGATGGACGACGCCGAAGGCGCGAACGGTTATTAGAAGCAATGGACAAAGTACGGTACATGTAGGACATAAGCAAACGGATATATAGCAAAAGTGCGGCAGCTTTGCTCCACAGGACCGTCTCCGACACATCGTGTATGGCGAAAGCATTCGAGCCGTAAACGACGGCTTTACAGCGCCGCCTGCGCATACGCCGCGGGACTCGCCTTCATTTCCTTCCGCAGCTGCCCGCTGATAACCGCCGGCGCATCCCGATGCGTATAAACCCGCAAGCCCAGCACCACCGTGTCGTTGGTGTACTCCGAGCCCACCTCTGAGGTGGCGCTATCCTGCACCTCCTCGGGTTCGGGCGAGGCCTTGCGCTGTGGCGTGTCGACCTCGTTAACAGGAGAGCTTGTCCAAGGGCGCAGGCCGAGATCCTCGTCTGCGATAGACGAGGGGAAGTTGTCCATGTCTAGTGAACCGTATCCATTATAAGCGGCTCCGTAGTCGTCGTCGGCATCGTCGTCATCTTCCGCGATTGGGCCTTTGTTCCCCGGTACGATGAGCGTCCCGGGTCTGACGTCGCGCTGGCCAGTCTTCGCGATCACCCTAACACCTGCGTGTCCTGATTCCTCCCGTTTGGGCTTTTCGGACGCTGCCTCAACTTTAGTGTGGGGTAGGTCAGCAGTAGTGTGCCGCTTTTGGGGAAGTTGAACGGTGGTGAACCGCTTTTGGGGAAGTTCAGCACTAGCATACCGCTTTAGGGGGGGTTGAACACTGGTGTACCGCCTTTGGGGAAGTTCAGCAGTAGTGTACCGCTTTTGTGGAAGTTCAGTTTGTAGCAGCTTCTCCGCCTCAAACGCCTTGTCTTCTACCTCCGCTAACTCCTGGCCAGCAAGAACATCCAGTGGAATGGGGACAATATCCAGCGCTGGGCTATGCGGGCGGTTTAATTGCCGTCCGATATAAAGTAGAAAAATCAAACCTTGGTTTATAATCTGAAAACTACGTGAGATCGCCGTTGAGAGGATGTTTCGAATTACTCACTGGCCGCCAGAGACTGGCTCTTTGTGCGCTCAGCACGCACGCGGGCGAATTTACGCGTGTCACAGTTCCCGGAGTTATATTCCTGTCAGTGTATAAGTGACGGCCACACCACAATAAACACAGCACGTACTTTCTCGTCGTCATGCACATCACGATCGATTCGAACCTAGTGAGGAAAATGAGCCCAGGAGTAGATTACGCGATGCGGCGATTCTCACGTGCACAATATAGTCCCCTTGCTCGAGCTGCACTTCGACGTTGATGCTCCGCAAGTAGAACCGCGTCAAACTACTTTCTGCGACCAGCTTCTTTGAGCCCTTTTGAAAAACCACAAAATCAAACGTCCAGCACGAGTTGCCAGAGATGTCGCTAAAGTAACGCTCATCCAGCTTTGAGAGGACAATTATGGCGTTCGTTCGAGCTGGGACCGTGATCGTGACTGCCAGGCATAGCTAGGTAAGTTCGAGGAGAATACAATGAGGATGAAACACACAAGAAACGTCGCCGTAACTCCATGCAGCGTGCGGCGGACGTGCGGTGACCTGCAGCCACAGAGAAGACATGACCCACGAATCGTCGAACAACAGCGTCTTCTCCACCATGTCCCAGTTTTGCAAGAAATCCGAGTCTACACAAGATAAGTGTGTGCAAGACGAGGGAATGAACACGTACACTCCATGACGAACTCTCCATCGTCCCCGAATGTGTGCTTGAGCACCTTCAATGCAGGAAGCCACTCCTCCGTCCACTCCTTCGAGCCGTCCGACCACTTGCCCGTCCATTCCGAATTGCCCCACGGGTTGCGCAGCACGACGAAGCGCTTTCCGCGGTACTCGACCGCACGGAGGACCGAGTACGCGTGGCCGCCGATGAGCCCGCTGACAATGGGGTCTTCGTTCCCACTCCGAGAGCCGTCGAGTGAGTCAAACCCGCACCCGAACAGCCGGTCAATGGTCGCGAGGAGCAGCTCATTTTTCCAGAAGACGTCCGGATCGAGGATATCCTATATTCGCATTAATAGTGTGTGTGTGTGAAGTGATTTAGAGCTCTGACCTTTGTTGGAATAAATGTCGACACGCCACTACGTGAGATAAGCATAATAGTCAGGTAGGGTGAACTGACGAATACTAAGTACGTACCCCGTAAGATCCTCTATAGAACTCGTGAGAGACAGCTGGTACTGAAATAAACGGCAGACCCACCGACAGCTTCACAAGAATAGCCTCCTTTGAGCGACGCATAATCGCCGTGCAGTTTCGCATAAGCCTGTTGACATTAGATTCGAAGAGCGAGAGTGAGGTACGAAGACGTCACCTTCTCGATCAGTGGGACCCACGTCTCGCCCTCCGTGTCGGAGCGAGCAAAGTACAAACTCTTTCCGCCCTTACGTGCAGAAGAAACAAAGAACGACTTGTCGCGGTGATATAGTTGTTGCTCCGCCAAGGTCAACTCTTCAAATTTTGGGATCGATGTGAAAAGAAGGCTGCATACACTCATATCACCGAGAGAGCACCACAAACACAACTTTACTCACTCGTCGATAATTACCGTAACCCACTCAGTGTCACGGAAAAATATCCACCCATACACGCCGACGTGCTCATCGCGCGCGACACAAAATTTCTCGATAAGTCCCTTGGCAGTGGTCATGGTGGAAAGCGCAGAAAGGAAGTAGCAGTCGCCTAGTCGGCCCTGGACGAGGTCGTTCGAATCGGCGCCACCGATGAAGAACGAGGGATTGCTGAAGATCTGGGCGACTCGCTGCACGTCCGAGGGACACAACTCGCGCTTCTCTTTGGAAAGGCCAAAGAGACATCTCGGCGGTGCTTCAGTGTCGCTCGCACTACATGGAAGAAGATAGGCAAGTACCTATCCTTGTCATTCTCGAGGTCGAATTCCACATCTCTGCGGCAGCGTCAGAGTGACCACTGACAGCGGAAACCACAGCCGCAACGACACACCTAAACCGTCGGTTCTTTGCCCTGCAGTCCTTCGAAATACGTTCCACGAGCGCTTTGCACTCCGCAAGCGCCTTCTCCAGTTCGCTGGTCACCAGAAGTCCTGCGCGCATCTCTTGCTGGCGGAACAATGCGCCGTCCGCAGACCCATTCTTCGATCCCTTGGGAGCGCGGCGTCTATGTTTCTTCAAGGTCATGACGGTAGCTGACAAGATGGAACACGCTGCGCCGGCGCCGGCGCTCGATGGCTAGTCGGGAACCCATGTCTGCCGACGAGACAGCTCGGATCTCTCGATCACGTGATCAAACACTTCTATAATAAGTACTGAAAATACTTACTACGTGTTAAACGTATTACGCTCTCCTCCATCAACGCTTGTTTAGCAGTAAGTTTTTGAAAGTTACAATATAGGGGATTTCAAGGTTGACTGTTTCATGAGTGGTTTCGACTCTTTCGAGTGTGGTTTCTGGAGAGCGAAACAAGTGAAACGAAACAATTCGGTGAAACTACTTTTGTTGTGGTTTCACTGAATTGTTTCTCGGTGAAACTACTCCCGTGACCAGTTGTTTAGATAAGATGTAGATAAACGTGTTTGGTGATTAGTCGGCTACTTTTGAAAAATTTCTCCTCCCCTCCATTGTGGCCAGGGTTTCAGCAGCAAGTCGGGTGAAATTTTCAGCATACAATTGCAGTGTAAATTGTTCGAGGAGCACGTCAGTGAGGATTTGCCCTTGCATCGTCATAAATGTCTGTTACAGAGACTAGGATTTGCCGGTCTGTGAAGCGCGGCATGATAGCCGGGGGTCTGGGGATGAGGCGGGAACAGTAGGAAGTGCCGCCGGTATCATGCATCACTTGGCGGCAGCACGCCGCGTGTGTGCTGTTTCGCTGGTTTCACATGAAATTAAAAAATGGGGTTTTCAAGGTGAAACCACGGAAACAACTGGTTTTGATGTGACATAAAAGTCGAGAAACAGCTCGAGAAACAGGTCGTGAAACTGTGAAACACCCTACCTTGAAATCCCCTAAATGTATCGCTTGTCCATGTTTTGGGGTAGTTTTATTGCACCGGCGTCTCTGCACGCTAACAGCTGTTACAGTACCGAGGCGTCTCCCGTTACCGTACACTCAGGCAACCTCGCAGGTGCGTGCTAAGTGGGGGAGGGCAGTCGGACGGTTTCGCTTATTGAGATGATGGTGGGACTGGAACATGGAAGGTGATGTCCCTAGAATCACGGAGAAAGATGAGAAAGCGGCCGTTATATGTCGTTGTCAAGGAAAGCTGTTCAGTTAGCGTCGCATAATAGGCGGCCATCGCTCGGCGCTGAATAGCGCTGAATCCCATCACATGCTATGAGAGATTCAGATGTGACACACTGAATTAGACTCCAGGCCGCAGTAGTCATGTTCAACCTGTTCGGTAATTTCTGTGATGTTGAGCAGGTGTTTTATGCAACACATATAACAGTTCGGTATTCAAACATCAAACGTCTGTCCAACAAGCTTCTCGCTCAACTTCCAGAGTTTCTTCGCGGCCTCCTGCAAAGAAATGAGGCGTGGACAATCTTTAGATGCCATAGACGAACCTTGTCCGTGGCGTGTGGTGCGACCTGCTCGGGCGCGAGCTTGCAGTCAGAGAGGTATTCGCCACTGTGGTCTGAAGCGCGGTGGTCAGCCATGGAATAGGAGTTATATCTTTTTATCATCATGATTCACCAGTGATGGATGGGTCGAAAGCGGCGACAAAGTAACTGTACACAATCAGAAAGGACGTTATTGTCGGAAGAATGATAAATCACTCA